AAATAACAGCTAAAAAAAAAAAAAAAAAAAAAAAGAGAGAAAAGAAAGAAATAATAATAAATAATAATAAAAAACTACTACTTATTAATAACTCTTCTTTAGTTCTAATTCTATAAATTAAAAGAAAGAAAAATAAAAGAAAAGAAGAAAAGAAAAAGAATTAAGAGGTCTCTTATTTCTCCTAAACTAACTAGAGGAAGCTTTACTTAATCTAATAAAAGAAATCAGCTACTACTAAACTAAATTCTATTATATACTATATTCAGTCGGTCAACTCTTTAATAATATTACAAGGGAGAGTAGTAATAGCTATAGACTTATACTTAGACTTATCTAGGTTATAGTACCTATAGTAAATACTATAATTCTTAAACTTATACCTAGTACAAGCACCTCCCTATCATCCAGATAGTTAAATAGTCTATCAAAATTTTATTTAATTATTATACTTATAGTAATATAGCACAACCAAACCACAAGATATAATTAGGAGACTATTAATATAAGAGAAGTACCTAGTATATATCTAATAATATTAGCTTTTTATATAAGAATACTAGATTATCTTATCTAAGTAATAGTAAGAGCATCAGCTCTTATCTTGAATTTATAATAAGAAAAGTACTAAACATACTACTAATCCTAAGTATAACAAAGTTAAAGCAAAGTCTTATTTCTATATACTAAAAATCATATAGTAACCTAACACTCAGGATCACTAGTATAAGTATTATAGATAGTCGAATAGCACACAGGAATAAAGAATAAATTATAATTAGAGATAGAAGTAGAAGTTTAAGAGGGATTATAATAAATAGAATTAAGAGAATTATCTAATTAGTTAGATTTATTAGCTCCAGAATTAGAAAGAGGAGATATTATATAGTAGAAGAAAGAGATAATAGTAAATTATATAAGTAAAAGAAGAGTAAACTGAGAAGAAAGAGAAGATACTTAAAAAAAAAAAAAAAAAAAAAGAGAACTAACTTAGGGGGGGATAGTCTTCTTATATAGTACTTTATATATTCTATACAAAGCTAATGACTAAGCCTAATCATATCCCCAGAACTGGTTATGCAAGCTGCACAAAGAAAGTTCTATTCACTAGAGAACCATTAGATTCACTAGATCAAGAGGAATCGTACGACAGAGGGAATAATAGTAAATAAAATAAGCTCTGTCTGTACTTATACTATCTACTAACCAGCTATAACACTGCCTGGGAAGGAAACTAAAGTACAGAACTATTACCCCAAACCTGTACTACTGATCGTACGAATATAAACCACAAAGAGAGATAAGGAAGAAGAGAGAAGCTTCTATTATAGGACTAAGACCCTGATATAGAGCTCAGCTTCAGGCACTAGTTAGTGCCTAAGGTCTTATATACTATACACTAAACTAGCGCTAGCTTAGTTCATACACACCTAAAAGAATTTCATATAAATAGATAAAATAGCTCTTCAGCTATTTCTTCTTGTTCAAAGACATATTTTAATCAGTATAATCTATCTATCCTGTAATAATAAGTAATACTTCTATAATCTAGTATAATTTTAAGTAATTTAGCTAGTTACTTCCTCTCCTAATCTATTGTATTATATTAGTCTAATAAATTATATCTGGAGATATACCAGCTAATCAGAATGCCTACCGGGCCCCATCCTAGGTCTGATGAAGGTTCATCAGACCAACCCTTGTGGATTATATACCAGCCAATCAGAATGCCTACCGGGCCCCATCCTAGGTCTGATGAAGGTCCATCAGACCAACCCTTGTGGATTAGAGTCTTAGAGATAAAAGCACCTCTTATCACATGTGCTACTTTACCTTTTGGTGATTTCCTTGTTCTCTCAACGCCTTTTCTGATAAATGTAACCCCTAATGTAACATGGGACCAGGGAAGGCTGGATAGCTATTTTTCCATATATGGGGCTGCGTTGAATCATGTTTTGAAGAATTTGGCGTACTGGGCAAGTTCTTGGGCTTTGAGAAAGTATCTTCGTAGCTAGCTGTAACAAACAGACTCACGGGGGCTCCAGGGCCCCCGGACGTTAATAGAACTTAAATAAATTGAGACAATCACTACAAAATAACTACCATTTGCAGTAGTAGAGTACAGCTGGACATATTGTTCTAGTGAAGCGATAATTTTATAGCTTTCTACAGATATAATGTTTTTAAGGAAAAGAATGTCTACTTTGTAACTTACCCAGTACAGACCTAATTAACAGTTTCAAGCATTCACTCTCGTAAGACGTATCAAATACACATTCCAGAGAAAAAAAAAAACAAAAGAAACCAAAATCAACAAATACGCTTGACTGATAACAAGCAAGGAACTGATCTGTACGACAATTATGATGAAAGTTTTTATAGTACAGGTCGTGATCAGTTTCCGCTCAAATACCGCAGACTTTCCGACGGAGGCGGATCAAGATCTGTTCCTGCTCTCTTCTAGCCCTTATCTAAGGCTTTTCAGACGCGCCAGATCATGTGGTTGTTGTGAGAGCGGTAGATTTCACGATTGGTCGACCCATTGAAAAGCCGGCATTTGCGTTGTCCGGGTTCGTAATTCACTCGTACACATCCGCTCCGTTCGGCATCGTCACATAACTTAAGGCAAGCCGCCAACGAGTTGATATCCCGGCTCTCATATACTGGAGCATCAGCCAGCGTGCCTATAGTTACCATTAGCTATAGCCGTAGCTAATCTCCTGATTTCAACAGAATGTGTAGAGCTAAGCAAGCGCTATGTCACCCGGCAACTTACTTTGATGATAATAAACCCTGTATGTACGATCTTCAATCGTCACTGTTTGAAACTCTTCCAATGGTACGTCGTCTTGCGTCTTGCCGGTTGCTGCAAATTTGCGGTTCGCAAAATCAATATACCTCAATACTAATCAGTTAAGGAATGGGACAACGGAAACATACGGTCGGCTTGATTATAGATCTCGTCCGTGAAGCTAATACACGACTTAATCTGTGTCTGTAATGAGGCCACCGTTGCATCAACGCTCGTCCTGCACGCTTCGTTTGCCGCATCAACACGGATTTGGCCAGCTCGATTGGCGGCATCGACGCGGGTCTCGCAAGCCGTATTTGCCGCTGCGACACTGATCCGGCACGCGTTGTTGGCCGCTGCCACGCTCTCCTGCGCGGCCTGATTGGCAGCATCAACACGCGACTGGCAGGCTTGGTCAAGATCCTGACCTGCTAGCTTTTCCAGGGCTAGGTACCCTGTACTGTACTCGTCGGTGTTGGTGTGTGCTTCCGCTGTACGGGTCAGGAAGCAACGAGACTGGGAACTCATCCAGGTACTTGCCCTGCACTTTTCATCATCAAGGCAGAGCCGCGCACATGTTGCAGCAGTATGAGCAGTACGAGAGGTGGTATCGTACCCACTCATCCATGCATTACAGGTATAACGAAAACGTCCAGTATCCAGCATCTCAACCCCGGTCGCTCCAGCGGTTGGACAGCATATCTGGTAGTTTGCATGGCCTTGACCGCCAGCTCCTGAGATACAAGAACCAGGGTTCTCACTAACCGAGAGAGAGGCCAACTGTAGAAGAAGGATAAACGAAACAAGAAACAACATAATGAAAATACTCTTGTTCAAGGGAGGGGGGGTGTAGAAAATTGGTGTGGAATGTGGAAACTCGAGAAGGAATGTTGAGGGGCTCGGTTTTCTTTTATATCTACTTTCTACTCTCTACCAGTCTATATCCTTGGGATTAGACAATTTTTGAATGAGCCCCTCAGTAATAGCAATATGACCAATAGTGGGTGCGTCTTACGTAGGATGGTTTAGTTAATACTTTACAGTATGACTAAATCTAGCTCCTACTGTTGGATTCCTTGTGATATCATAAGGTGCTTCAAAGACACTCGTACTACCCTAGGAAGCTCAGTGGAATAATGATACTTTATCTAAAATGGATGATGTCAAGCATAAGTCTGATGTAAATTGTCGTCATGCTACATCTGGGCCTGCGTTGGCAAAAAAAGAGTTCGTGGGGAGTGATATTCATGAAGACTCGTGCACACCGTCCCCAATATAGCCATGGGGATTTTATCGGGCTTGCTGTTTTCGAAAAGAGACGCTGAACCCTAAATTAAGATTGTTAGACCTGCTTCCGGTTTCGGTCAATGGCATCCGTCCCGAACCACAGCTGTGGAAATTACCCTAGGGCACATCCAGATTGTGGGCCGGCCAGAATCACGTAGAAAACAATAGCCAATTAAATAGATGATGTAACTATGGACTATTAAATATATGACGCGTATATTCTGAGGAACCAAATACATGTGTGTAGTTTCACTTATGAAGCCCATATGTGCAGTCAAGATCACCCACTTTGAAGTGAACCTCGCATCCTATGGGAAATCCGATTCTAAAAACGCTTCTCTTTTCCAGCAGAATTCGATCGCCCACAGAATTTTTTCAACTGGGTCTGCATACAGTCTGAGATACAGCAAGAGTGAGCTAGATGTGGTATGCAATTCGCTTGTAAGAACAACGATCTCAGCTTTATTCAATTAGCCTACACCAGAAACTGTGATAAGTCCGGGGATATCATAACAGGGTAATATCTACTCAGAGGTGGGCTACTAATCGCTCTTCTCGACAAAAGGACCTGATCCTAATGACAGTCTTAGAAGCATTACTTGACCATCACAAGCACCTCAAGTACAATACATGTAGGCAGTTACCTTCCAAAGCAGATGTACAAGCAATGTATTTTGATCCTCGATAAGCTCAAGGTGCAATTGATGTTCAAATTGTATTGCATTAAGCACTCGCAAGAATCTTGGGCATGAAAGCAACACATTAATACAAACCTATCTCAGTTGAGCTCTGACCGCAACCGGTACTACTTTATATAGACTAAAGTAAGATTTTCTACTGTATCCATGTCTGGCTAAGAGTGTCTTAGAATTTTTGAGCTTGTTCTAGACCCATCACATCCTTGTTACAGCTCCGGAGGATCTGGAAAGGGCACAAATGGAAATGAGTAGCTCCTTGCCGAGGTCAAAGATCCGATCGATAAGATATACACATTACTTCGAAACACATCATGCTTATCAACAAAGACTTCGTCGTGCCTTGGCGATTTTGGTGCAGTATATCTGTTGAATCTAATTCTGAAGTGTTTACAGTGTCGCTTCAGGGCGCACAGGCTGTACAGACAAGTTATCAAGGTCAAGCATAGCTGGTATTAGTTCATTTGACTTCGGAATGGACCTCTCTTGCCAGAATAATCATAGTGCTACTTAAGTATTGACTGCGAGGCATCAAATTGAGAGGAACTGAATGCTTTTGTTATGTTCACCTACACCCGCAATGTGACTTCTCATAGCAGAATGCAGGCCTGTTCGAAAACCTCCCTATCGCTGGATTTTCACTAAGGACACCGTAATCAAGCCATAGACTTGTGAGAGAAACAATACCGGAAACCTTGCGGGTCCAAGATACCTAACCTAGGCTTACAACTGAATGTCTCATCTGGAGGAACGGCACGCATCTCATTTTCAATGACTTTGCCCAGGCATTGGAGCCTTGGATAGTCATCGGCCTTGTAAGTCTAGACAGCCACAGTAGGCGGAATGCATTGCCACCACCACCCCCACTGTCTACCAGGCGGGCAACCACTTCCACTGCCATTATCATCGTTAGGAATGCAACCTCCGTTGGGGCCAAGCTTAGTACCAGGCGGGCAGCCACTTCCACTGCCATTGTCATCCTTGGGGATGCAACCTCCACTAGGGCCAGGCTTAGTACCAGGCGGGCAGCCACTTCCATCATCACTGTCCTTGGGGATGCAACTTCCATTGGGGCCAAGCTTGGTGCCAGGCGGGCA